CCAGGCAGTGGAGGCCCATGCCTTTAATCCCAGCACTTGGGAGGCAGAGGCAGGCGGATCTCTGTGAGTTCGAGACCAGCCTGGTCTACAAGAGCTAGTTCCAGGACAGGAACCAAAAGCTACGGAGAAACCGTCTCGAAAATCCAAAAAAAAAAAAAAAAAGAAAAAGAAAAGAAATGGAAGACAAAAAATTGGAAGACATCAGCAAATCCCTTAAAACCAAGAAAAAGCAATCAAACATATAAAAGAAACTATTCAACTGAAATAGAGACAGTAAAAAAAACACAAGCCGAGAGAACTATAGAAACAGAAATCATGAGAAAACGATCAGGAACCACAAACACAAGCCTAAACAGGAGAATACAAGAAGTGGAAGAGAGAATCTCAAGTGCTGAAGATACACTAGAGGAAATAGACTCATCAGTTAAAGAAAACATTAAATCTAGCAAAAGCTTAGCCCAAAATATCTGGGAAATATGGGACACCATGAAAATGCCAAATCTAAGAATAATACGTATAAAAAAAGAAGTTCAACTCAAAAGCAAAGAAAATATATTTAATATAAGAAGAGAAGAAAACTTTTCCAACCTAAAGAAAGATATGCCTGCCGGGCGATGGTGGCGCGTGCCTTTAATCCCAGCACTTGGGAGGCAGAGGCAGGCGGATCTCTGTGAGTTCAAGACCAGCCTGGTCTACAAAGCTAGTTCCAGGACAGGCTCCAAAGCCACAGAGATACCCTGTTTCGAAACCCCCCCCCCAAAAAAAAAGAAAGATATGCCTACGAAGATACAAGAAGCTTACAGAACAAAAAAATATACTGGACATAAAAAAAAAAAAACTCCCTCGCCACATAGTAATCAAGACACTAAACATACAGAGTAAAAAGAGAATATTAAGAGCTGCAAAGGATAAAGGCCAAGTAACATATAAAGGTAGACCTATCAGAATTACACCTGACTTCTCACTGCTCACAGTGAAAATCAGAAAGTCATGGTCAATCAAATCCAAGAACTCATCAGAACCATCATCCACCATGACCAAGTCGGCTTCATCCTAGAGAGGCAGGGATGGTTCAACATACCAAAATCTGTCAACGTAATACACCATATAAACAAACAAAAAAATAAAAACCCCATGATCATCTCATTAGATGCCAAAAAGCTTTTGACAAAATACAACATTCCTTCTTGATAAAGGTCATGGAGAAAGCAGAAAAACAAGGAACATACCTAAACATAATTAAGGCATATATAGCAAGCCAACAGTGAACATCAAACTAAATGGAGAGAAATTCCCAACGATTCCACTGAAATCAGGAACAAGACAAGGTTGTCCACTCTCTCCATATCTATTCAGTATAGTTCTTGAGGTCCTAGCTAGAGCAATAAGACACCAAAGGAGATCAGGGGAATAAAAATCAAAAAAGAAGAAATCAAACTCTCACTATTTGCTGATAATATAATAGTTTACATAAGCGACCCCAAAAATTCTATCAAGGAACTTCTATGACTCATAAACACTTTCAGTAATTAGCAGGATACAAGATTAACTCATAAAAACCAGTAGCCCTTCTATACACAGATGATAAAAGGGCCGGGGAAGAAATCAAGAGAATCAACACCTTTATATTAGCCACAAATAGCATAAAATATCTTGAAATAACTCTAACCAAACAAGTGGAAGACTTGCATGACAAAAAACTTTAAATCTTTGAAGAAAGAAATTGAAGAAGACACCAGAAAGTGGAAAGATCTCCCATTCTCTTGGGTAGGTAGAATTAACATAGTAAAAATGGCAATCTTACCAAAAGCAATCTACATATTCAATGAAATGCCCATCAAAATCCCAGCAAAATTCTTCACAGGTCTCAAAAGAACAGTACTCAACTTCATATGGAAAAGTGAAAAATCCAGGATAGCCAAAACAATCCTGTACAATAAAAGAACTTCAGGAGGCATCATAATCCCTGACTTCAAACTCTACTAGAGCTACAGTACTGAAAACAGCCTAGTATTGGCATAAGAACAGACTGGAGGACAAATGGAACCAAATAGAAGACCCACATATTAATCCACACTCCTTCAAATACCTGATTTTTGACCAAAAAAGGCAAAAAATATCCAATGGAAAAAGAAAGCATATTTAACAAATGGTGATAGCATAACGGATATCAACATGTAGAAGAATGAAAATAAACCCATACACAAAACTCAAGTCCAAATGGATCAAAGACCTCAGCATAAAGCCAGCCACACTGAACTTTACAGAAGAGAAAGTGGTAAGTACACTTGAACGCATTGGCACAGGGAACCACTTCCTAAATACAACCCCAGCAGTACAGACACTGAGAGAAACAATTAATAAATGGGACCTCCTGAAACTGAAAAGCTTCTGTAAAGCAAAGGACACAGTCAACAAGACAAAACGGCAGCCTACAGAATGGGAAAAGATCTTCACTAACCCCATATCAGACAAAGAACTTAAGAAATTGAACACCAAAAGATCACATAATCCAATTAAAAAATGGAGTATTTGGACAGCCTGAGACCTAATAATTGCCTCCTGTTCTTTAATCATTGTTAAATAACGTAAACCAATCATGTTTGTTTGCATGCATGTTTGTTTCTAGGGCTGATTGGATAATCAATCTCAAGACTCATCCTTGGGAAGACTACATCTTCTGTTCAGTTGTTGTTTCTAGCTCTTCATTTAGGGGCCCTAATGAGATTGTTCCTTGAGTTTTAGGTGAGGAGTTTGCACCAGCGGCAGGGCCCAGGAAGCTGGGTTTTAAAACTGCGCGTTTTTTTGTATGGTTGCTGAGTCAGGAAATCTCTCTGCAGCATGCCCCAGCAAACAGCACAAAGCTGTGTTAAACTCTGTTTCTTTGTGTGTATGTGTGTGTCTAGAATTCCTTTTCAAGCCCTCTCAGATTTTATGTGGAGTTCATTACCACATTGGAGCACCACTCTGTAGTAGGAAGAGTGGTGGGCTGCGGGACAGCTAGCTTACACCCGGGCTGGCGGGCTGCTTGTCGTCCTGGCCATCCAGCTAGCTTATGGCCGAAATAATCACCTGGAGATCCGTATTAATTAAATCACTGCCTGGCCCATTAGTTCCGGCCTCTTATTGGCTAACTCTCACATCTAGATTCAACCCATTTCTAATATGTCACCATGAGCAGTGGCTTACTGGGAAAGATTCAGCATGTCTGACCTGGCAGCTTCATGGAGGGCAGCTCTTTTTGCTGCCTTCTTCCTCCCAGAATTCTGTTCTGTCTACTCCACCCACTTAAGGGCTGCCCAATCAAAAGGCCAATGCAGCTTCTTTATTCAACCAATGAAAGAAACACAAATACAGAACAACCTCCTACACCATACTGATTCCCTAACCCTGGCTATGTTTAATCACTTTCTCTGCTCTGGACTATTCCAAATATTTCAATATTTCTTTTTGTTTACAACTAAGGAAAAGAAAAGCCCTCCCCTATGCTGGGTAGTGGTGCTTTATACATTTAATCCCAGCACTCAAGAGGCACAGGCAGGTGGATCTCTGAGTTCAAGGTCAGCCTGGTCTATAGAGAGCGAGTTATGGGACAGGTTGAGAAACTGTCTCGAAAAACCAAAACACAAAACCGACATAAAAAAAAAAACAAAAAAACAAAACAAAAAAAAAAAAAACAAACACACACACACAAAAACAAAACTCACCTAATAATGGAGTGGTCAGTTTCTTTACTACATCCCCTCACACAAAGCAATGAATTGAGGATGGCAGATATGAAAAATGTAAGAGGAAATAAAAATACAGTTTAAATATAAAATAAAAATATTAGAATAAAATAGTGAAAGTAAAACTCAAAGAGGTTGGGCATGGTGATGCCTTCCTTTAGTCTCAGTACTGGGAAGCAAAAGTAGGTAGATGTCTGTGAGTTCAGACCAGTCTAATATATACAGTGAATTACAGGACTGCTAAAACATAACAAATAACAAAGAAACAGGCCAGACAATCCAAATTCCAATGCCCTAATAAGCTAACAGGGAAAAGCTAGCTATGGCAAAGTATTCCTGTAAGATAGGGTTTAGAAGGAAGCAGAAAGATGATAGCCACAAAACAACAACAACAAAAAAACAAAAACAAAAACAAAAAACCCAAACAACCAGCCTTATCTGGAACCATCCCATGTTCCACTGCAAGGCTATCTCAAAATACCAATATACAGGCTGATGAGATGGTGTAGTGAGTAAATATGCTAGCTGAAAAGTATGATGATTTGAGATTTTAACTACGGCACACATGGTACAAAAGAACTACCACCTTCCCCCGTAAACAAAATCTACAGACATAGGGTGTAGCTCAACTACAGAAATGCTGAATGAGCTTGCCCTCGTGGCACACACCTTAAATTTCAACACTTGAGAGGCAAAGGAAGTTGGAATATTTTAGTTCAAGCTAAGCAGATCTACATAAGGAAGTTTTAGGTCAGGAAGTGCTACACAGTGAAACTGTGCCTCAAAACAAAACAACAAAAAACTCCACTATAAAGAAATGCTGGATAGGGCTAGGCAGTGGTGGCATATGCCTTTAATCCCAGTATTGGGGTCAATGGATCTCTTTGAGTTCAAGGTGAGTCTGGTCTAGAGAGCTAGTTTCAGGACAACACAGGCTGTTACATAGAAAATCCATCTCAAAAACCAAAACAAAAAAAAATTATATAAAAAAATTGGATAAACCCTTTTCTGCAGTATTGGAATGGTACAAAAATGATTTGTATTGAAATGTTTACAAGATCCACTTTGTTGTCTTTGTAAACATTTTGTGAATGTCATCATTCATAATGAAAATCTTGTTCCTTCACTCTTAACTTTATACCACCTTCATCTTTTATTCAAATTCACACACATGAATACCTAAAATGTACTATACAAGTACCATTTACTACTAAAAAAGTAGATTTAATACTTCAAGCATTGAAGTTCTCAAAAACATCAAGTCACAAAATATAGCATTTTGCTATACTTTTTATTTTAGTAAAATGAGAGTAAAGTAGGCACATGCAGTGCTAGTATCTAACGCTAATAAGATAAAGCAATTACTAACTTTACAGTGACTCAAAGCTCCATGTTTACATTCAGCAAGTCTAATCTATTATTTACTAAAAATATTACTGGCTAAAAATTGAATGTAAAAAGTCACTGCTTATGGCAGCACAAAGATATAACCACATGTTTGAAAATTACAAATATGCCAGACAGTTACAATGCTGAGCCAAACAGACCATGTTAATAAGGTAAATTCAGACACAGTTTGAGAAAATAATGAGTTTTCATTAGTATCTTAAATATATTAAACCTTGGCAAGTCAAATTTTCAATATTCCAGTTGCCTCTCATTTTGTCATAAAAGCATATCTATAACACCAATCTGAGTTAGATTAATTTGACTCAAGCATAGTAGAACTTAATATTAAAGCTCACATTACCCCAAAATATACTATTTCACACACATTGACAATCAACATTCAAATGCCAGTGTTTTTATATTGTCTTTTGGTCAACTTTCTTTAAGCTTTCAAAGAATCACTTTTAGGCTTACAAAAATAAATATCTGTCAAAATGTTCAATAAATATTACACAAGCTAGCAGCAAAATAGTCTGTTTTGTGCAAATAGTTTATCTTAAACTAACATTACTTGGTCCCAAGTTTTTGAACCAAGTTACTGAAACACTGTAGTTTTCAGTCAGAAATCTCCAATTGGAACCTTAAAGACTTGTACAGAATATACACATATAAAATTCTCTTCATGTGCAATAAAATAAGTGCTTTGTAGAAAGTTGTGGGCAATGTACAGTCTAAACCTCTATTAATTGAAATAGCACCATAACAAAGAACCTTAATAATACTGTCAAGTACACCTACTTTAGTAGTTTAATACAAGGCACAATACACTTGAAAATCTATTGCACTTTTAGAAAAAAACTGTCAACTCAAGACAATCTCAATGGTTTTTTAAAGTTACTATCCTATCCAGAAAAAAATCTCAAAGAAAGAGGCATTTTTAGTGATGAACAATCATTTTTGGCTGATTAAAATGACTATTATACAATGGAAACCTATACAACTAAAATACATGAAAACTGCACTGTACTGACCACCATGAATAATTAGTACACATAGCCAACATGTAAGATACAGGATTACAATTTGCCATTCTTAGATTTATGAAGTCTTAGACAAATGTAAGCCATTTTACATTTTAACAAAGCTGTAACAGAAAAATTTGATATGTAATAATAAAAGCCTGCTGCTGCACAATTCTTTCTGCTCATAATCTCTTGACCAAAAAACACAACACTAGCATGCATTAAAGACCAGAATTAGCAAGGCTGTAATGAGGTCTCATCCCTGTCAGAGTCAGTCATTCTTATATGTCATTTTTCTTTATGGCAGACATTAAATAAATAAAAACAAACTTTATATCCCAAATTCTTACCAGATCTCGAAACTTTTCCTATAGGAGTATGCCACCATTAAGTTACCAAAACATTAAATAAGAAATCTCTGTATTTATCTGTATTGAGAGTTTTCAAAAATATTAAGGTTATATTCATATATTCCATTTTAAAAATAGTTTTAAGGTTCTAAGTGCCAATCCAGGATAGAGTGAGCAAATCAGAACTTTAGTTTTGAATTGTCTGCCACATTACAAACTTTAAAAAAAGCTTCTATCATCAACTTTGCATACACCAAAATTTCTTATTCGGGCTATTGCCTAAAGTCTTTCACCATCATATTTAGCAATGAACTGACTGATTCCTGTTAAAATATCTACACTTGTGTGCCAAGGTTTGGTTGTGGTTGTAGCCCAAGTTCAATGAAATTTATTTTGTTAAAACAAATGTTATCTTGAAGATTACTGAGTCAACAGGACAACAAATAAGTAGTTTAAAGTTAAAAAGTCACAGTACATTAACAAATTATTATTCGCAGTCACAAATTTTAAGTGCAGTTTAGGAGGAACCAAGTATGCAGGGAGTTAATCCAAGGTACAATAAGTCTTTACATCAACTTTTGAACAGAGGTACAGGTTGTTGCTTTCATGTCTTGTGACTTTGAGCTCACATCAATTTTTAGAAGAATCACAGCTGGTAATGTACTGCAGGATCTTGAAGCTACACAATACAGTCTGGCTAAGTTACATGTGGTTTCCATATTAGCTATATGAACAGTTGACTTAGGCACAAATTCAATTGCCCCACCAGTCAACAGTCTGGGAGTTGTAATTTCCTCCATATCCATCATTATTGTAGAAACCTCCACAGCCACCTATTGAGAAAAGAAAAATTAAGTTAACTACTATTATCATCTTTTTTTCAACAGGGTTCACTATACAGTATTAATTTCCCTTTAAAATTGCTTTGAAAAGATCAGTAAAGATCAAGAAACACAAACAAACATAAAAAACTCTTGTAAAACAAAAATTTAACATTACCTCCACCAAATGCTCTGTTGTTGTGACTATTACCACCACTTCGGCTGCTACTGGCACGATTACTATTAAACCCAGAATTTACAGAACCACTGCTCTGACGATAATCTCTGGCACCAAATCCTCCACTGAATCGGCTATTGTAAGGAAAAACATTATGTATGATATCCAATCAAAATGTCAATCCATGTTCAAACTTCCTATTTCATTTAGAAAACTTGCTTCCCATTGGAAATTAAACCTATAACTGTATCTCCAAAAACCTCAGCAATGTAGAGCTGACACCTTGCACTATAGCCTTTTCTACTTATTCTTTATCAAGGTATTTCTTAAAAACTATTTTAGGTTTGGGGATAGCAAACCTATAAAATAAAGCTTCATTTCCTGGAGACCATGAAAGTAGTCCTCTGACTCTACAAAAACCAGGTCCATATGTATACATAATAACAAACATGTAATAATTTAAAAATGAATAACTAAGATAACTTAGTTCTAAACAAATTGAAATAATAAAAAATTCAAACAATGTTTACCTTTTAGACCGTCCCCGACTGCTACCCTTGTAGTGGTGTTCATAGGCCATATTCTCCAACCAAGATGGCACTTCTTGTTTAGCCTCAACAAGGAGATCTAACAGATCTTTTGTGATGTTCAAATTCCTCTCATTGAAAAATGAGGTGGCAAGTCCTAAAAGTTAAAGAAAAAAAAAAGGTTTCCCTAATTGCAATAATTTCACTATTGCTCTTTCCCATACAGTTAAGTAACATAACATGATATTCTGCAATATAACTAAATATAAGTTGAAAGAAGTTTGTTAGGTGATAAAGTTTCTTCTTGTGTGTGTGTGTTTTTTTTTTAAATTAAGACTGGGTATTTTTTCATAGCCGTGGTTTGGCACCTAGTGTGTAGACCAGGTTGGCCTTGAATACACAGAGATATGCCTGACTTTTGCATCCTGACTGCTGGGATTAAAGGCACATGCCACTATACCCAGCTTTCAAGTTTCTTCTTTAAAAACTAATCAAGAATCTAGAATCTCTAACCTTTGAGATTTTTTACACTGGATTTGGAACCCAAGAATCCCTTGCCTCTGCTTTTCAAAGTACTGGTAAAAGACAGAGCAAGACCATGATTAAAAAAAGGAGCGGGGGGGGGGGGGGGGGGGGCTGGAAATTTATTTAGCTCAGTGGTAGAGGTTACCTAGCAAGAGCAGGGCCCAGAGTTCAGTCCTCAGCTCCAGGAGGGTGGACGGGATGACAATGGATGAATGGACCTAATATAAATAAAATAAACCTACCCTATTAAATCCTTCGTTAATATATCTATTTAAAGAAAAACGACTAATAAAATGGGTCCAAGCCTAATGATCTGAATTCAATCCCTGGAACCTACATAACAGAAAGAAAGAACTATCTCCCATAAGTTGGCCTCTGATCTTCACAAGTGTACTGTGACATGTACACAGATACAGACAAATAAATGTAAAGGGACTCAGTGATAAAGTACTTGAGACCCTATCTTCAGTCCCAAGACCTAGAGGAAGAAAAAACATTTTACCAAGGTTTCCTACACGTCCTGTACGGCCAATACGATGTACATATTCTTCAATATCACTTGGCAAATCAAAATTGATAACATGTTTCACATTTGAAATATCTAGACCTCTTGCTGCCACCTTAAAAAAAACTTATTAAAATAAAGCAACATTCTGATTTAATAGTAAAATAATAATATAAAATTTACACACAGCTGTAGCCACTAGAATTGGCCTTCTCCCTGAGCGGAACTGGTGAAGAGCCTCCTCTCGATCTTTCTGTGATCTGTCTCCATGAATACTGGTACAAGCATATCCTTCTTGAAATAAGAAATTCTCCAAAGAATCAGCACCCTTCTTAGTCTCCACAAATACTAAAGTCAGTGAATCCTTCCCTGAAAAAGTAGATTTCATTTACTAAAACTTATTTATTTGATATCGCTGTGTATTGTAAAATTTAACAAGCGTAGTCATCTGGAAACGATTCCTTGATGAGAGGTCATGCATTCACACATATTATACAAAGCACACATGCTGGACAGGAGGATCTTGAAGGTGCAGTGAATAGTGTAGCTGAATTTTCAAGTTCCAGGTTTAGTCAGAGACTGCCTCAGAAAATAAAGAGTAAGATACCCACATGGAGGAACACACATACACAAATATACAGAAAAAGTGAGGCTATAAAGACTGGAAACTAAGAGGACACAAATCTAGACATTTTCATTTTATTAGAGTAATAGTCCTAATTTTACCTGTTGCATTTAAAAGATCAAGTAAAAATGACCGCTTGTCTAGTTCTTCGACCCAAACTACTTTCTGTGTGATGTTCTCAGAAGTAGAGCCTACCCTGCCTACAGCCAGAAAAATATATTCATCTAAAAAGTCACGAGCAAGCATCTGAAAATAAAAAGAAAAATGTAAGTTCTGAATTTAAATTCTTTAATATATAAATCACCATCATTTATTTATTTAAAAATAAAATTCTAACAAACAATACCTGTATTTCCTTAGGAAAAGTAGCGCTAAACATCATAGTGTGACGAATGCCTTTTGGTGGCATAGTGTCCTGTTCAACTATACGACGTATCTGAGGTTCAAATCCCATATCTAGCATCCTATCAGCTTCATCCAACACTAAGTATCTATTGACAAAAAATAGTTATGTTGAGAAGGCCACTGACTACATTAAACTATTGAGTAAATTATTCTCACAATTAATATAGCATCTCAGGTCTTAAACATAGTAGTTTTCAATTTAAATATTAAGCATTATTTGTTAAAATGAACCTCAGTCAAAAGGGGAAAAATGAAAGAGAAGAAAAAAGGAGGAACAGAAAGTCAATTTCATTTGTTCAATCTTGTGATTTTGAAAAGTGACACAAAAAAAAAACGCATTTAATCTATAACAAAATACAAGTAGAGGAATGGTTACATACATCTATTATTCCTAGAACTGAGATAAGAGCTAAGGCTAGAGAATTATACTGAGTTTTAGCCTGGGCCTGAGTGAGATCCTACATTATAAAACTAGTAATATTACTAAGTCTTACATAATGGATGAGTAAAATCACTATACTTCAACATTTACATGCAAGAATTTAAAAAGTCATACAAAGGAACCTTATTTCTTTTATCAAAATTAACATACTTGCAGAAGTCTAATCCAATTTTTCCTCTTTCCATCATATCCACTAGACGTCCTGGAGTGGCAACTAACAAATGGCATCCACGTTCTAAGTCCCGAATCTGCTGAACAGTATCAGCACCACCATACACTACACAAGGACGGACCCTAGACCGGTATGAAAACTATATGCAAAAAATTATTAGTCACAGAAACAATGAAATTAAGAAGAAAATTAAATCACTAAAGCTATGCTTACTTTTCTGGCTTCCTCATAGATCTGTAGAGCCAATTCTCTTGTTGGGGCTAATACCAAGGAGATTGGATACTGTTTGCGGCGACCATATCTTCCATTTTCCTAAGAGTCAAGTATAATTTTAGAGTCTAAGATCCAAAATTTTACCTTTCTAAAAATTTTTTTTCTGTGTATGAATGTTTTCTCTACATATATGTATATGTATATGTCTTGTGTGAGTACCTGATGTCTATTAAAGACAAAAGAACATAAACTGGAGTTATAGTCATTTGTGAGGAGCCAAGCACATACTCTTAACCAATGAGCCATATCTCCACCCATTACTTACGTATTTTTAAAGTTTATAGTGTCATTTGTAATTTAAGAATTACTTGAAAATAAAGTACATCTGGCAGCTCATAAATGTTTCCTATTTCAATCCAATGCCCTCTTCTCCCTTTTGAGGGTACTGTATGCACATCCTTCATAGACATATGCAAACAAAACACCTATATACAAAAATAAAAATATCTTTATTTTTCCTAACAAAAATTTAAAGACTGTCACCTTCATAGCCTTCAAAGCCTCTCCTGGACCATCTGTATATATCTGACTGAGAATGGGTAGTAGAAATGCAGCCGTTTTCCCAGAACCTGTTCAGAAATCATTGTATTATTAATTTTGAATATTTAAGACAAGCTAAAGTACTAGGCATACTGGCTCATGCCTACATTCTCAGCAAGTGGTATACAGAGTCAGAATAATAATTTAATGTCAGTCTCATCTACATAGTGATTTTAAGGCAACACTGGACTACCTAAAGCCCTCTCAAAAGCCTATCAAGACACTCTGGAAGCAAGCAGATCTCTACGAATAAGGTCATCCTTGTTGACACAGTGAGACCTTGTGTAAAACAACAAAACCAAGCAAGTAATAATTTTAATGAAAATTTGTCTTATTTTTCAATTGGCTTACCTATACAGCAACAACCACAACAAATAGTTATCTAAATAAAGCAATAAGGAATAACTTTTTGGGGATGTGGAATGTGGGGAGCAGCTCTCTCTACACGGTCCTAGATGTCCTGAAACATTATATAAGGCTGACTGGCCTTATATTCACAGAGATCTACCTTGCTAGGATTAATGGGAAGCAAAATTTTTGGGGTGGCATTTTTAAGACTGTATTTCTACATGAAACAGTACTGGTTGTCTTGAAACTCACTGATAACCAATTGCCTCTGCCTTCCAAGGGATGGGATTAAAGGTTTATGCCACCACTGCCCAGTGCAAAAAAAAAATTTTTTTAAAGGATCAAGTGCTAAACTAAACTAAATAAATAAATGATTAGCTTTTAAAAAACATCACAGTGGGGACTGGAGAGATGGCTCAGCAGTTAAAAGCACTGACTGCTCTTCCAGAGATCCTGGGTTCAATTCTCAGTAACCACATGGTGGCTCATAACCATCTATAGTGAGATCTGGGTGCCCACTTCTGTTCTGTCATTAAAGGTGTACATGCAGATAGATAACAAAAAAAAACTCAAGAATGTCTTATCTCTAGTTAAATATGATGCAATTTGATTTAAAAAATATATCACAGTTGGGCAGCAGGGGCACACACCTATAATCCCAACACTCAAGAGGCAGAGGTGGGCAGATCTCTGTGAGTTCGGGGCCACCCTGGGCTATAGAATGAGTTATAGGACAGGCCCCAAAGGTATTGAGAAATACTCTGCCTCAAAAACAAGCAAACAAACAAACAAAAAACACAAAAAAACAAAAAAAACATATCTACCAGATAACTTCAAATATGTCAAGATATAAATACTTGTATATACAAGTACACAGAAAATTTCGCTATTTCTACAGAAAATTTTGCTATTTCTATCTCAGGTGGTATCATTTTCTGATATAGGACAACATCCAATATGCTTCCTCAATACCCAAGAAGAAATGGGGTACCTTCTTAAGACATGTTTTTGTAACTTAAATTTCTTTTTAAATTGTTAATTTTGTATCTACTCTAACATTTAGCTCTTTTCCCGATACAACATTAGAAGGTTGACAACTAGATACAAGTTCCTAAATGTACCTTAAAAATACACCAGTAAAAATCTGTGGCATCCTTAAACTTACATAATAATAAGTGCTTAATCACAGGGGAGTGGAACTTTTTGAAAGGATTACAAGATTATGCAAGGCCGGGAGGTGGTGGCGCACGCCTTTAATCCCAGCACTCGGAAGGCAGAGGCAGGCAGATCTCTGTGAGTTCGAGACCAGCCTGGTCTACAGAGTTAGTTCCAGGGCAGGACCAAAGCCACAGAGAAACCCTGTCTCGAAAAACAAAACAAACAAACAAAAACAAAACAAACAAACAAGGTTATACAAGATGTTGTGTTACTGAGATGGGATTTAAGATTTCAAAAGCCTAGGCTAGGCTATTTCTCTCTGCTTGTGGACAGGATGTAGCAGCTCCCAATAACCTCTCCTGCAAGATGCCTCCATATCTGCCATCATACTTGTTGCCTTAATGGACTAAGTAAGATTCACAATGTAAGTAAGTCATGGGTGTCTTTTCACAGCAATAGAAAAGTGACCAAGACCCAAAAGATGTACAGTTCCTAGCTATTTTTATCTATCCCGTACTTTAATATAGGACTTACCACTTTTAAAAGAATCCCAGAATTAAAGGCTTTTTGTTCTTTACAAAATAATCTTACCTGTTTGAGCACAAGCCATTAAGTCTCTTTTTTCTTTAATAATAGGAATAGCATGTTTTTGCACTGGAGTAGGACGAGTGTAACGTGTTAGTTCAATGTTTCCCATGATAATTTCTCCCATCTCAACATCACTGAACTGTCAAAGAAAGTACACCAAGCAAGTAATGTAAAAACACAAACTGGTTATTTGTTATGCTAATAAAGGGTAAATACTGTGTCCAGTTTAGAGTTGTTTTGATTTTTTTTCTTTTTTCCTTTTTTTTTTTTGGTTTTTCGAGACAGGGTTTCTCTGTGGTTTTGGAGCCTGTCCTGGAACTAGATCTGTAGACCAGGCTGGTCTTGAACTCCCAGAGATCCGCCTGCCTCTGCTTCCCGAGGGCTGGGATTAAAGGCGTGTGCCATCACCGCCCGGCTGAGTTGTTTTGATTCTTAATTAATAGTATGTTTCTAAGAAACAGATTCTGTCACTGAGAAAAACTATGTTTTTTGATGTTTGATACATTTCCTCTATCACTAGTACTTATAATAGTAACTATTATGACATTATTATAGAGTTATCTAAGAGTCAGACAAAGGCCTATAGAAATGGTTTAGCACTCGCAGTTCTTGCAGAGGACCTGGGACCATTCCCAGAACAGACACAATGCCTCATAACCATCTATAACTTCAGTTCCAGGGATCAAATGCTTTTTGCTTGCCACCAACACCAGGCACACACATGGCACAAATACACGTACAGGCAAAATATTTAAATACATAAGCTACTTTTTAAAGTATATGCCTCAAATCTCAGCACTTGGGAATCTGAGACAAAAGCATTGTGGTTCCAGGAGAGCCAAGGCTACACAGTGAGGCCCTGTCTTAGAAAAATAAAAAATAAAAAAAAAAAAAAGGAATACCAGAAAACAAGTAATCTAAAAGGGAAAATTGGGGATAACTGGGTTTCTTACGAAGTGTGGGAATACAGAAGAAAAGTAAAGTCACAAGGTAACATAGTAACAATCTACAAGAAAAAAAACCATAAAGCAACTAATTCAGTGTATAAATATGCATAAGTTTTAATTTATTCTTCTCATCCAAAGATCTCCGAGATAAAGACCACCTAACAAGAGCCTGCCCTGACTTTTTTCTTTCTGTTTCCTTCAAAAACACCAAACTCAAACAAACAAAAACACAGAACCACAATAACCAGAGATTAATAGAAATGGGTTAATCAAGATGTGAGAGTTAGCCAGTAAGAGGCTAGAGCTCATGGGCCAAGCAGTGTTTAAAAGAATACAGTTTCTGTGTTATTATTTCAGGGCATAAGTTAGACAGGCGTGCGGCAGCCGGGCAGCAGGAAAGCAGGCCCGCAGCTCTTCACTACACCAGACCTGAGAAACTCTCTTTTCAGTTTGTTGGCATGGTCTGTACAAAAGCCACCCAAAGCACACAGCCTACTGGTATTCCCCTTAGTTACGCCAAAGAGGTGGACACTAAGTCTCTACTGCTGAAAACACCATGCACTTCAGACCAAGCTTCTGAGAACCCTGAGCTGTTATTTTCTCCTCCCTGAGGAGCTTTTTTTTTTTTTTTTTTTTATGATACTAGAAGGCACCATGCAAGGTTCCTGAGAAGGGTAGCAATCAACAGTCCCACCCAGTTATGATGCCTATGAACCACACCAATGACTAGCATGGCACAATAACCCATTGAGTCCAATACTGGCATGCACATTTTGGTTCTATAATTAGACTTAAGACTGAAGACTGAAGAGAGAACCCAAGCCTGGTACTGAAATTCTACCTAACTAATCAGTCCTAGAGAAATCATAGTTATTGGAGGAGACACTACAACCACTACTTTACTGAACCACAATACCTAAAAATAAATCTGGAAATATTTACACTTACACCCACAAGATAATTATAGACTCCACCCCTCACCAAAGAAACTTCTCTTTACAACAGATGGTGACTCCTATAGGAAACCAAATTTAATCCAAATGCAGTGTTGTGGAGACCAGTTCTAATGGATACATTTACAAGACTCAGGCACTCAAGAGCTCAGAAAACATTGCCTAAGATGGGGCATAAATTGAAAGAGTCAAGACGGGCGGTGGTGGTGCACGCCTTTAATCCCAGCACTTGGGAGGCAGAGGCAGGCGGATCTCTGTGAGTTCGAGACCAGCCTGGTCTACAAGAGCTAGTTCCAGGACAGGCTCCAAAACCACAGAGAAACCCTGTCTTGAAAAACCAAAAAAAAAAAAAAAAAAAAAAATGAAAGAGTCAGAGGATCAGGAAGTTTGTTGTGAGATTTGTCTCCTAGGAATGTCAGAAGATACACCAGTCAAGTCTCACCAACGTGACTGCCTAAACAGAAACTCAACAACGACACCATACTAAATTGGAAGGAGAAAACCCCACAAAACCTTAACTCTACACAAAAAACTACAGGGAACAGAGTAAAGATGGAAGTGGGAGAAGTGGGAAAGTGAACATCAACCGGTTGTCCAATGTTAAACAGCATTGAAAACTTGTAATAACTAATAATATGAACTCAAAAGGTAATATTTAGCAATATATATATATATATATATATATGCATATACATATATTCATGCAGTAACAATGAAAAAAGAAGCCACAGATTTTAAGGAGTATAGGGTTTGGAGTGAGGAAAGGGAAGAAACTATAATCTCAAGAATAAACCAAGGTCAAACAAGGACTGCTGAGAACAGTCAGCAGGTAAAAGTACTTGCTGCCATCCAAGTTTTAAGAAGCTACTCCCAGAAGTTGTCCTCTGATCTGTACATGTATTTGCTGTGATTATTATATACTTTGAACAAATATAAAATTAACAGTCAAACAAAAGAACTTACATTTTCAATATGAGGAGGACAGTTACTTCCAGTTGCCTCTACTGGTATATCGTCATATTTCTCAAAGTTAATCCCAGTGTTTCCACCAGAAAAAAGTTCTCTGAAATCAGATGATTATTATATATTTAAAAAAGTGTTAGGATTAAAACTATGGGTTTCAATACCAAGTATAATTAGCTAATTTAATTATTTCTGAGGTTTTATTTTTCATTTTGTATATGTATGTGTGTTTCTGTGTAGGCACATACACATGACTCAAATGCCTGAAGCCAGAGGCACTGGATACCCTGTAACAGAAGGTACAAGAAATTGTGAGTTGTCTGACATGGGTGCTAGGAACCAAACTCAGGTCCTCTGCGAGAAACACACATTTTACTCTCTCAACATTTTTTCAACCTCATATTAAATATTTTTAAAATTTGTTCTTGTTTTGAGACAGAGATCACAAAAAGTCATGCTTGTATGTACCAGGCACAAATATAATATCTAACATTTTAAAAACTTACTGCTCTAAGCGTTCACTTGGTGGAAGTGGTTTTGACCAATCATCTTCATCTGTTTTGTCACCCCAACGACTATGAACACTTCTATCAAATTTGCCATATCCAGTTAGATCACGACCTCCAATACCATCATAGTCACTTCGACCATGATCATCAAACCTGAGGAGCAAAATAATTAGATTGTATCACTAAAAATACCATTCTTCTAGAGTATTAGTTTAACTGAATGCAACAAATACATCAACAATTTAACCCTGATCCATTTACCAAACAACATCTTTTAAATACCTTCTTACAGACAGCAGATTGGCCTCAGCTTTGCAGACCCTTTTACCTCTGCCTCACATATGTTCAGCTGAAAGATTTGCACCATGCTCCTGTGATGGTCATGAACAACATCTGGAACTAACTAAAAGATCAAGCTGCTAGGCACATCTGTGAGGAATTTTTAGTTAAATAAACCATGTGAAGTTTGAAGACCACCTTTAATCTGGACCTTTATAAAGGACAAGGAAGTAAGTTTTTGCTCTTTGCCTTCTAGGCCTTGCTTCATTGTATTAGTGCCTACTTCAAGATTCTGACATTTGCTAAGACCATCTGAGACATCTAGTTTCAAGTAGTAAAACAACTTTTGGAAACTTTCTGCTTGGAGACAACCATTGTTAGACTATTTGGACCAAATCCATGTCACTCTAGTAAATTATCAGCTAGGCAGGTAGATAGAAAGACAGACAGACAGATACAAGGTAGAGACAAGAGAGTGAATCATTCTATCAGTTCTGGTTCAAAAGAGAACTCAGATCCTGGCAAGTTGATTCTTATACATTTTTTTGCCATTACAATTCTTAACCATTACTGGATGGTGGTGGTACATACCTTTAACCCAAACACTCAAGAGACAGAGGCAGGAGGATCTTTGTTGTTTGAGGATGCCTCGTCTACAGAGTGAGTTCCAGGATAGCAATACATATAGAGAAATACTGTGTCAAAAAAACAAACAAATCAAAACACAACAACAAAATCTTTTTTTTCAATTTATTTATTACAAACACAACATTCTGTCTCCATGTATTCCAGAATAGAGCATCAGATCTCATTATAAATGGCGGTGAGTCACCATTTGTTGCTGGGAACTCAAGACACCTGGAAAAAGCAGTCAATGCTCTTAACCTCTAAGCTATCTCTCCAATCCCAGAATAAAGATTCTTAACCAGCACTTTATATACACCAGTAAAGAATTTACCTTCCCCTGGATCCAATTCCACGGTCACTGAAATAATTGGGCTTTCCTCTGGAATCACGAGATCCAAAACTGCTATAGGCATCTTTATCTTTACAACTCCACCCAGAACAGTCTTTATCATAGACTCCTTAGGAAAATAAAACAAAAAACAATCAACAAATGAGTCTCTTCCAAAATATTGTATTCTTCATGGCCATGGATTTCTAAATAGCTGGTACCTAGTACCGTGATAGTGGATACCCACAAACAGAATTTCAACAGATTTTTGTTTGTTTTTTGAGACAGGGTTTCTCTGTAGCTTTGGAGCCCGTCCTGGCTAGGCTCTTAGACCAGGCTGGCCTCAAACTCACAGAGATCCACCTGTCTCTGCTTCCCAAGTGCTGGGATTAAAGGCGTGAGCCACCACCGCCTGGCTCAAATTTTTTAATACTTTAGCAATCATAAAAAATTACAGTAAGAAGTACCTTGAACTGTGATAATGTGCTGCCAAGTGAGCTAGAAAATGCTTTTATCACCTACCACTTGTGATACTGAGATTGAAGTCACTCTGAGATATATAGTAAGAGCCTGTCTACAACCAAAAAAGGGGCTATAGATGTAGCTCAGTCACAGACTCTTTGAAGCAAGTATAAAAGAAACCCTAGATCCAATCTTGATAAAGTATTATTACTTTTAGATTTCCCTGAGGATATAAGTTCAGATTATGCCTAGAATGATCAAGGTTCTGGGTTCAAAACTCATTAGCATTATAGAAAAGAAATACAGCAGCTAAGAGAAATAATCAGCTTTTGAATGTTATCATTATATTAGCATCACTACAGGTTAAATTTACTTTATTAGTCTGTATAATACAGAGACATCAAACACAAGTTACCCTGGGTTAGTTTGGTTTGCTAATGTAAACTAACTTAGTAAGATCCCTATCTGCCATTCTTGAAACTCTGGGTTCAATTCCTAGACATAAAACTACCTGTAATAACAAATCTGTAACTTCTCAGCACTTGTGAAGAAGAGGCAGGAGTGTAGCTACAAATTTGTTGCCAATCTGCTTAACAAAACAGGAAGATTGCTCAAAACAAAACTCCAACCTAACTTGCCGGGCGGTGGTGGCGCACGCCTTTAATCCCAGCACTCTGGAGGCAGAGGCAGGCGGATCTCTGTGAGTTCAAGGCCAGCCTGGTCTACAAGAGCTAGTGCCAGGACAGGCTCCAAAAAGCTACAGAGAAACCCTGTCTCGAAAAACTTAAAAAAAAAAACAAAAAACAAAAAACCTCCAACCTACTTACAATAAAACTCTAAAATGAGAGGTATTACAGACTATGTTAGCTTCTTCTTCTTTTTTTCCAAGACAGACTTTCTGTTTAACAGTCCAGACTGTCCTGGAACTCTCTATGTAGACCAGGCAGGTTTCAACTATGTTAGCTTCTTAGCTATGTCTCATACATACATAATTACTTGACAAATACTGCTTAAGTTGTTTTATGTATATAATACTTGGCATCAACATTTTTCTTTCTTTCTGAATCTAAGTCTGTGTTCACATGGTCTAGGGTAGCCTCAATTCACTATGTCACTGAGGCTGGCTTTGAAATTCTCATCTTCCAACCTCTACCTCAAGATGAAGGTCACATTCAGTTTGATCCATAATTTGTATGTAGAATGACTCCAAAGAGATGGAGTAACAAGAATAATAAGATCGATCATTAGAATGATATTTAAATTCATTTTAATAATTGTTTGATATTTAGAAGTTATGTTATCTATCTACTATATGTAAAAATTTTGAACACACAGTTGACTAAAGTTTTATAGCAAAGGAAAAAAGGGCTCTAAGAGTACTTGCCCAGAAAGTGCAGTCATTCTCTAGAAAACACACCCCACTATCCACACACCTAACTACAATCAGGTAGCTAAAGATTTCTTCTATCAATGTAAGTCCTCAAATACTGTCACTTCTTTTGAAGAACTTCTGAAATGTAATTCCAAGCATACATCTCAGCATATACACAGTGGAAGTTATTGGCCGGGAAAAAAATGAATGGTATGCCACTATATGCATTTCTCAGTGTTTTATCTCTCAAACCTCCACCTCTGTATTACATCTTCCCTTATAGTTTCCTTTTCTTAAAAGAAAATTCAGATTACTGGGTGAAGAAATATTCAAAATATCACCCACAAAAATATTTTCAATCTATACTCCAGTATTACAAAACTACTAGGACATACAATGTTTTAATTAATTTATTTTTATTTTATGAGTGTTTTACCTATAAGTGTATATGTATACCATATGTGTGTCTCGTCATAGAATTCATAAAAAGGGTATTAGATCACGTGGAACTGGAAGTGGAGACAGCTGTGAGCCACCATTTGAGTGCTAGGACTCATTTCAGTGTTGATGGTTCTTTGTTCTTAACCATGAATCCATCTTTCCAGTACCTCTAAATTTTTCAATATAGAAGTTAGATATAGACATAGAATTATTACACCACATAGCATTCAAAATACCTTTTCAAAGAGAAGCTGTGTTGGTAGAAATTTATATTAGTAAAGTAAACTATATAAAACATATTCTTAGTCTAATAATCAGTCTTTAGTCATACTGTCAAAGTAACAAGAAAATGTCCATTATTCCACATTTGTAAAGTTATAAAATGCTAAAGATACATAGTATTAGGGTTTTTTTGTTTTGTTTAGTTTGAGACAGGGTTTCTCTGTAGCTTTGGAGCCTATCCTGGAACTAACTCTTGTAGACCAGGCTGGCTTTGAACTCAGAGATCTGCCTGCCTCTGCCTCCCGAGTGCTGGGATTAAGGCGTGTGTCACCATCACCCGGCTAGTTGTTGTTGTTGTTCTTCTTCTTTTTTAAAATAAGACTTATTTATTTATTATGTATGCTCTGCCAGCAGACCAGAAGATGGCACCAGATCTCATTACAGTTGGTTGTAAGCCACCATATCGTTGCTGAGAATTGAAATCATGACCTTTGGAAGAGCAGCCAATGTTTGAACCACTGAGTCATCTCTATAACCCAATATTAGTTCTTAAAGACAGAACAAACATAAAAAGGAAAATAGTTTTTCTTTATTTTTGTATGAGATGTATATACCACAGACCAGAGTATAAGCACCAGTTGATTTTTGCTGCTGAACCATCTTACTGGCTTCAAGCTCTAACTTCTTTGTTTGTGGTTTTGAGACAGGGTTTCTCTGTGTAACAGCTCTGGCTGTCCTGGAATTCTCTATGTAGACCAGGTTAACCTCAAACTCAGATAGCCATTTGCCTGCCTCTGCTTCCTACTAGGATTAAGTTGTATCCACCACCAATACCTAAAATCTCACTTCTAAAAATCAAAAGTTAATCTACAAATTTGCTACAACATACCTTTAGATGTATCTCTGTTCCTTAAATGAGGAGGTACATAGCGCCCTTCTAAAAAGGAAAATGTAAAAATGTAACATTGTTTTTTTCCAGAAATTTACCAAATTGTCAAGGACCAGGAATCATGCTTTTTTTCCCCATCAAAAATTATTGTCTCCTATTAGAAAATATACAAAAGCCAGAACTTAATGGATGAAATTAACGTTTCAATTTGAAGGTTTATAAATAGTCAAAATCATAGCCTAGGGTTGAGGAAAGCAACCAACCAATGAAGAGGATGACAACCATTATCTGATGGACTACATTATATATTCATCCTGTTTTTAAGGTAAATACTTAAACTCCATTTACACAATGAACCTGATAATAGTTTTAAATGGTAACTATGGTTTGACATTAACCAGACTAAAGTTGATATAACAGTATATCAACTGTTAACTGCTGCCAAATAATCACCACCTTCCAGTTAACTCCAAATACATCTTCAAAAGCATCCCCTCTTCTTCTTCTTCTTCTTCTTTTTTTTTTTTTTTAGACAGGGATTTCTCTGAGTAGCTTTGGAGTCTATCCTGGAACTTGTTCTGTAGACCTGTTTTTAGTAAAGTAGTGGTCTTAGAATCTCCTCCATTAATTATGATTTTTCTAGGAATGATTAATTAGCTAGAATTTCAAGAAATATTTAATGGAGGCTGGCTTGCAGTTTTAGAGGTTCAGTCCATTATCATCATGTTGGAGAGCACGGTAGCATGCAGGCAGACATGGTGCTGGAGAGGTACTGGAGATTTCAACATATGGATCCACAGGTAGCAGAAGTGAAAGTTATACTAGACCTTGTTTTAGCATCTGAGACCTCAAAGCTCACCCTGAAGGGCACACATCCTAATAGGGACACTCCCTATGGATCTATGTGGACCATATTTCAAACCACTATAGAAATCAAATACAAAAACCTTTTCAAATGGAGGGTGTGTTAGCCAGGCAGTGATGGCACACACCTTTAATCCCGTCACTGGAGAGACAGAGACAGGTGGATCTCTATGAGCTTGATGCCAGCCTGGTCTACAGAGTACTGCGTTCCAGAACAGCCAAGGCTACACAGAGAAAGCATGTCGTGAAAGAGAGGGGAAAAAATTAGCTGTTATAAACCCAAAAGAACTTTTATCTTTTTCTGATTTTCGAAACAGGGTTTCTCTGTGTAACAGTCTCAGCTGTCCTGGATCTTGCTCTGTAGACCAGGTTGGCCTTGAACTCAGAGATCCACTTGCCTCTGCCTCCCAAGTGCTGGGATTAAGGGTGCATCACAACCACCCAGCAAGAACCTCCATCTTTACCATGTGCCATGGTAGTACCAAAAAAATTGAGAATAATAAATTAATGTTAAAGAACATACTCCATGCTAGGAAAAGCATGACAGCTAGGGAGACAAAAAGACCTTGAGAAAAAATGACCATACCCAAACAACCAGCTCCACTGCCTTTTTCTTAATATTTTAGTGCCACTAACCTCCATCTCTATAATTCTATCTAGTTCCCTTCTCTAAAAAATATTTCAAATTACTATTTCAACAAAATTTCCAAAGTATCACCCCCAAAAATATTTAAAATTTTAAATCTATACTCCCATATCACAAAACTACTAAGACATATATGGTTTAATACATTTATTTTATGTCTGAGTGTTTTGCCTAATTTTTTATGCCTGTGAGTGTATGTATACCATGTTGTGCCTAGCCAACAGAATTCATAAAAAGGGTGTCAGATTCCGTGGAACTACAGGTGCAGAAAAAGCAGCTCTCGTCTGTCTCAAGATAACAATGACAGTATTTTACATCACAAATCTCCCCTATTTGTCCAAACAACCATTATAAAATTTGTTTCTGTGAAATATCTTTAATTGCTCAAAATGTAAATTGGGACAATAAAACTAGGTAAGCTGATAGGGATTTCTTCTCTGATACAGATATAAATAATTTGCATTGGTGTGGATTTTAAGGTCAATTTTGTTATATGTATATGTGTTTCTGCTCTTGATTAAGGTATTGTGATTGTGTAGTGCATTTAAAAATGTATAATTAGAAAATTTAGGTTGCTAATCATTGATAATAGTAAAGCTTGTAGTCATGTTAGTTAGATTTTCTAGATATACAGAGATATATTTCAGTTAGATAGACATTCTTCATATCTTTCAAAGACTGCAGAATATGGCATTTAATGTCTTGATAATTTAAGATTTTTCATGATAATGAGACACGTCTGCTCCTGGCAGCACCAATTTACTTCAAGAGGAAGATGGGCATCAAAGAGGTTCCTTATGGAGTTTGATAGCCATTTGGGAAAGATACTTCTCTTGCCTGGACTGTTGTATAAACTGGACACAAAAAACCCACAGAAAGAGGACTGCTGAACTTGCCTAAAGGTGAGATGATCCTTCAAGGGTTCCTGATTTATGAAAGAGTCTGTGAGACATTCTGTAGGACACAGCAGAAAGTGACTGAACTGTCTGTGGAATTTCCTGCTTCATGGAAACGTCTGCTGGATACTATGGGCCTAAAGGCTGAAGATGGATGCCCCAAAGGTACAAAAGAACTTTGGGTGACTGTCCAGACAGTGAGATGTCTCTGTCATTTCTAGAGTTTTGGAAGTTGCTTATTTCTTGTTTACTTAGGTAATATTATATCCTTCTGGAGTCTTTGATGGAGTTGCAGAATGGATATAGTTTTCCTTAGTTATGATAAAGAAAAAATAGATATAAATATTGTAACTGTAATTCTTGCTTTATAACTGTTTTGTTATATGTAATTTTACTATGTTAAAGTTAAAGCCTTCCTCTTTGTTTAAACAGAAAAAGGGGAAATGATGGACGAGGGTCATCTGTCGATGTGTTGATTTCATTGGTTAATAAAGAAACTGCCTTGGTGCTTTGATAAGAAAGAAAATTAGGTAGATGGAGTAAACAGAACAGGATGATGGGTGAAAGGCAATGAGACAGAGGCCATAGCTCTCCTCTCCAAGATGGATACAGGTTAAGATCCTTCCTGGTAAACCACCACCTCATGGTGCTACACTAATTATTAGAAATGGGTTAATTAAGATGTGAGAGTTAGCCAATAAGAGGCTAGAGCTAATGGGCCAAGCAGTGTTTAAAAGAATACAGTTTCCGTGTAATTATTTTGGGTAAAGCTAGCTAATGGCTGGGAGCTGGAAGGTGGGAAGTGCGGCCCGTTGCTCCTTACTACACTTTTCAGGGCTGGTTATTTTTACAGTTTACCAGTTCTGTATAACTCTAAGTAGAGTAATTTCTATACCATGTTATATGGATACGCATGTTAATTCTGTAACAGTACCTCCTGTATTTGTTGAAACAGAAAATAAAAATTAAATCAAAATAGTTAACCAGAATGTTAGCAGTAATTCAGAAAAAAAAAATCTATTATTTAAATTTTTTTACTTACTGTTCTCAGTACTTCCACCTCCACTCTGATTATCCGAGGAGTTGAGATCAAGACCAGCAAACTGAAAAATAAATAGTTATGGTTCACAAGTTAGCAAATCAAACAAAAAGCAGGTTTTACAAGTTAACAAAAATAACATAAAATAGGTTAGATACCACCAAAAGTTACAAAACAGAAAATTTAAAACTCCAAGTCAGCTGAGTGGTGATGTAGCACACATTTAATGCCAGCACTTGGGAGGCAGAGGCAGGAGGACCACTCTGAGTTCAAGGCCAGCTTGGTCTACACTGTGAGTTCCTATACCAGGCTACCCAGAGAAACTCTGTCTCAAAAATTAAAAACTCTAAGTATTATGCTGTAATATTTACTTAATTGCCTTTCAAACACTTAAGAGTATTTTTAGGGACCTGGAGCTCAGTGGTTAAGAGTACCTAAAGCTCTTAAAGACCCAGGTTCAGTTCCCAGTACCCTAATTGTAATTCATAACCATCTGAAACTCCAGCCCCAGGGTTCTGATGCCCCATTTTGATTTCCTCAGGCTCCTGCATGTATTTAGTACACACACATACACACAAACATATTGAATAAATACGTTGCAAGACAGGGTTTCTGTGTGTAACAGCCCTGGCTGTTCTGGAACTCACTCTGTATATCAGGCTGGCCTTAAACTCACAGATATCTGTCGGACTCTGTCTCCTTAGAACTGGAATTAAAGGTGTGCACCATAACCACCTGGATGTATGTTGTTCTTGTTTTTTTTCTTTTTCGTTTCATAATAGATTTCTTTCTAAAGGGTAAAACACTCATCCAATTTAAATACAAGTCCAACAGAACCGCTGTCAGTCATCCATGATGCAGTCTAGCATTCTCAGAGTTCTCCTGATGAGGAAGAAGGCTCTGAAACTTTATTATATACATCCTTCTTATCTGCAATGTAATCTACAATTTCTTGTGGACACATTAACTTCTCTGGATCTACATCAGGAATTTCAAATCCAAATTCATCTTCTATGGCCATAATAATCTCCACATGGGACAAACTGTCTAAGCCCAGGGCCCTCATAAAATGAAAATTTACCAAGAGCTTTTTGGGTCAATCTTGCTATAGAGTTTTACGACATACAACACTCGGTCCTTAATTCACTCTAACGTCAAAGGGGTTCGCCACTGTACTGGCTGCACAAGTGTGTGACCCTTCCAGGCACCTGCATGAGGGCGAGGGTGGGCTGCAGAGCCCTGGACCTCCTCCAGGTTCCCTCAGGGCAGACCGTAGTGCTGAGTGGCCGGGGCAAGGCCAGTGTGAGAAGCCTGGGCAGACAGAAAGGACACGCTAACCCAGAATGCACTGCCGTATGTTTTTTTTAAAAAAGGTGCTTTTGGGGGCTGGAGAGATGGCTCAGCTGCTCTTCCAGAAGCCCCATAGTTTAATTTCCAGAACCCATATGGCTACTCACAGCCATTTTTAACTCCAAACTCAGATGATTAAACCATACATCCTAGTTTCCTAGGACATTCAAAGTACATGCCAGGAAAACACCCACACAAATAAAACAATAAATTCTGTAAGAGAAAATGCTTGCCAGGTAGTGGTGGCTCAGGCCTTTAATCCCAGTACTTGGGAGGCAGAGGCAGGCAGATCTCTGTAAATTCAAGGCCAGCCTGGTCTACAGACCTAGTGCCAAGACAGCTGCAAAGCTACAGGGAAACTCTATCTCCAAAAAAAAAAAAAAAAAAAAAAAGAGAAAAGAAAAAAGAAAAAAAAAGGAGGGAGGGAAGGAGAGAAAGAAAGAAAGAGTGAGAGAATGCTTTTTAGGTAATGAGAATGAGGATTACTACCATGTACACTACAAAGTGCAGGCAGAGGTGGGCACAATTATTTTAATCCTAGCACTCAGAAGGCAGAGGCAGGCAGATCGAGTGTGAGGCCATCCTGGTCTACAGAATGAGTTCCAGAGAAACTGGCTCAAAAACTCAAAAAAAAGTAAGAAAAAGAAAAAAGAGGGGTGACTTACACACCACAAAGGGAATACCCTTCTTTGAACTTAATAATACACGTCAATGCAAGTAACAGAACATAGTATAAACAATAACTTAAGAAAAAGAGTTCAGAGTCGGGCGATGGTGGCGCACGCCTTTAATCCCAGCACTCGGCAGGCAGAGGCAGGTGGATTTCTGCGAATTCGAGGCCAGCCTGGTCTACAAGAGCAAGTTCCAGGACAGGCTCCAAAAAGCTACGAAGAAACCATGTCTCAAAAATCCAAAAAAAAAAAAAAAAAAAAAGAAAAGAAAGAAAGAGAATTCATTAGTTTAAAACAGATGAATTAGAAGCAAGAGAAAAACTCCTAAATCACCAAACTAAAAGTCAGTATCCTCAACAGACAAAGACTAGCCTGACATTGGGTTTTGATCCTACTTTACGTACGGGCTTTGTGGGAGCCTGGTCTGTTTGGATGCTCACCTTCCTGGGCCTGGACGGAGGGGGGAGGACCTTGGACATCCACAGGGCAGGGAACCCTGACTGCTCTATGGACTGGAGAGGGAAGGGAAGGGGGATAGGGGAGCAGGAGGGAAATGGGAGGAGGTGGAAATTTTAAATTAAATAATAAAAAAAAGACACTTAAAAAAAAAAAAGACTAGCCTGATAGTGTTTTATCTTTAGATATACATAAAGGAAAAAGGGAATGGAATTCACAAAATTTTCTTCTGAGCTCTATACCTCCCCACGGTGTGGCATGCAATAGGTACACTGACCATGAATAATAAAACTGTATCTTCATTTCTTAGTAACTCAAAATTTAGTGACGAGTAAGACTGAAGAGACAGCTAAGCAGTTAGAAACACTCTGTACTCTTAAAGAAGACTTAAGCTCCATTAATCAAATCTGGGGCACCATCTCTGTAATTTCATTTCCAGAATATATGACAATTTCTTCTGGAGTTCAAGGGTAAACATGCACACACCTGATGCACAAACATACGCGTAAACATGCATACACATAAGATAAATATCAATCTTTTTTTAAAATTAGGCATATGTAAGTGCTAGGTTTTAACTTTAAGTTTTAAGGGAAAAAAATCTAAATGCATATATTAAGACATGATCCTGTAATTCCTTTATAACACAAAAGAGCTATTTCTATTTTGTGATAAATTCCTAAGCGTAAGCAATGTTAGCACACACCAGAGTATGAATTTAATACTTGATACTTTTCAGGTATATCATCAAGGCATAAGTTATGTTAGAGATGTTTGGTTACTGAGCTAACGAGTATATGTATTACCTTTTCATCTGTACCCTTCTTATAAAGACAGAAGGCAAGACACTAAAATATAGGGTATTTTGTTTTCTAGTACATTCTGTATTCATTACCAAAGGCAATTTAGGCAATTCAGGTGTTCATTTCCCAAATTTAACGTTAACAAAAGATATTTCTTGAACATTTATGTCTCTGTACTGAGTTCAAATTAACCTCACTGATAATTAGTAAATTACTGTCAGCTGTGTTTGAAAATATTCTTTTAATCCCAATTACTTACAAGGCTTCAGCTGAACACCACCGGACTACTTAGTCTTGATTCAAAATAAAAGGTAACAACTGTTCTGGGGCCCAAGTTTAAAAGAAAAGCAGTTGTTCAATGAGTATACAACTAGGCCATATAATCACCACAAACGTTAAAAAACTTTCTTTTAAGGTGGGAGGGCGTCAGGTTTTATCAGTTTAAACTGTTTAGGTAACCTAAGAGATGCTCTACCTATGGGACAGAAATTCAGTAGGAGAAATCAAGGAGGCTTTTTGATACACAGTCCTCTCTGCCGTTCTAAACATATCACAAGGAACGGTATTCCGTGTAACGATGACTTTGATCGAAAATAATTTTTCTACTAGCAAAAAGAAAATAAAACCTCTCTTCTGCCTAACAAAGACAAGGCAATATTTAAGCACTTTGTTGTCTGACCTTGGGAGTAAGTACTTTTAAGAAAAAAAAATTAAATAGCCCACTGGTCTCAATTATCTGCCTATCTACATGCACCGACTGGGGGGGAAAAAGGCTAAATTTTAATCATCTTTCAACAAAATCCAACCTCCATTGTTTGCAGGCCACTATCAAGAGAACTACACCACAGCCATACTTTAATCTCTTATGCTCTCGTGTATTCCTTTCGGTTTTCCTGCGTCACAAGACTCAGCAAACGAGCCCCGTTTTGCCTACATATCAATCCGCGGGAAAGAGGCTGGAGGAGGGTGGGAGCCTCGCGGAATAATATTATAAGAAGAATCTAAATACGAGCCTTCTCCTTCTCAAGTAGTAATCCCCATTGGTCCGATACAATATTACAGCCCTGCGGCGCCTATGGATATTACAATAGGTGGCCGCCATTTCCTCCATCAAATTCCCCAAACCTCCAACCAAATTACGTGGCATCAGTACTTTTATCAATTTACAGACATTATTAGCCCACAAACATTAGGTATCAAGGCCACTCAATTTGAACACGTCTTCAAAGAAAGAATTATAGAGAAAAACTAGGTCCTTTTAACTCACTCACTGCCAAACACAAGCTGCAGAAACTTCCGTTCGCAAATACAAACGCCGCCATTACGCGAGGCCTTTGAACTAATTTGTAACGTCATTGTTATGGCCCTTTTCTCGCTCACGCCATTTTATCAGTTTAATTTCGTTTCTATCAGATTTTTAATCAGACGCCACAGTCCAATACGGAGAAACCAAACGAACGGAAACGGTTTTTTTCAGTACTGCGTCACAAGCAATGTCAGACCAGAAGAGAGAAAGGGGGAAGGGTGTCACATATAGATTCAACTCACTTGCTGGTCCAGGTCGGCTGTATTTCCCACCACCACATGACTCATCGCGGAAAAAGAACTGAACACCCTACCACTCACGCAGTAGGTAACTTAACTATGACTTCGCTCGGTGAACTCAAACGTTTAAGTATACAGCTTACGCAGACACCCAAACGTTTGGGCGGCTTTACGCCAGCACGCAGGACGCACAGCTCTTTCGTCAGTCCGTACAACCAGGAAGCAGGTTTTTACCGCCAGTCCTCGCGGGATCTAAGCCCGGTGCCGCTGTTCAATGTTTCCGAACATCTGAAGTAGGTATGGCATGTATGTTCAGCCTATCTTCACTTGAAGGATCTTAAGCATAGCTACCCCATTCACTTATCCTTTACACACCAATTTATTTTGAATTTATTATATTTTGCTTTACTCTGTTTTAATAGCTTTGAAGCATGATTAATAAAAACCCAAAGGTGGACATTGGGGTTTAACCTGAAGATCACCGAAGTAAAGCAGCCAAGCCATTAGATAGCTCTTATCTCTACCAGGGTACAGAAAAAGGGGTGGTCCTCTCCTCAGAGTGACTGTAGACTGTAATGCTCTCCACCAAACTTCAGAGTGCAGATTAAGAGCCTAAGTTCTTGTCTCCTCATGTTTTATATTCCTCTCTAGCATTGGTATCAGAGGTGTGCACTGCCACTGACTGACCTCTATGGCTGACTAGTGTGGCTGCTGGGATTAAAGGTGTGTGCCACCACTGCCTAGCCTGTATGGCTGACTACTGTGACAGGTTTTGGATTCTGATCTTCAGGCAAACTTTATTTATTGAAACATAAATAAAATATCACTATATTTCCCCTTTTTTGTCTAAAATAAAACAAAAGGTTATAACTAATATAAAAACTATGTATAATAACTATATACGATATATACAGGCAATAAATACATCAACAATTTCTGGTCCGTTTACATTTGACAAATTCAGAGAAAATACTCTACTAGCTGTCCTATCTTGGTGAATCCAAAGTCTTGCAACTAATTAACTTTCTACCATAATTAACTTATGTCTCATATTGCTTTACCATACCAAATTATCTTTTTTTTTTTTTTTTTTTTTTTGGTTTTTCGAGACAGGGTTTCTCTGTGGTTTTGGAGCCTGTCCTGGAACTAGCTCTTGTAGACCAGGCTGGTCTCGAACTCACAGAGATCCGCCTGCCTCTGCCTCCCAAGTGCTGAGATTAAAGGCGTGCGCCACCACCTCCCGGCCCAAACTATCTTTTAATATCTCTAAATCTTATATGCTTTATACTTCTTAAGTAAATTTATTTCGAGTCTCGTAAACAAGAAAAACTGTATCTATTTAGTCTTCAACTACTTTAGAAACACAAGAAGAAATAATATTAATTGAGTAAGCAGGAAGTGCAAGCAAGAGACTTCCAAAAAATGTGAGAAATGACAGAAACAGCTGGCTCCCTGGACAATCACACAAAGTTTCTTTGCCATGTTGGGGCATCTATCTTCAGCCTAAAAGCCTAGCATATCTGACAGACTTTTCTATGAAGCAGAATTTTTGAAGGGCTCTCCTGCCTTATCTTGACAATGATTTGCAGCCACTCCTATGTAGTACTGTGTGCCTAATTAGGATAACATACTGACAGCAGTAAAAGGAAGGGCATTTTCTTGCGAAGTAGCTTACTTCTGCTACAAAGAAAGTAAACTTCATGTGGAGTTTCTTTGATGCCCATTATCTCCTCTGAAGTAGATTGGTGCTGCCAGGAGTAGACATGTCTCACTGTAACAAAGAAAAAATAATAATTTATGTTTTAAAATGCCATGTTCTGTACATCTCTGAGGTGTTTGAAAATGGCCTATCTAAAATATTTTTGTTTGATATTGAAAACATATCTAATATAACTACAATTTAATTGTTATTGGTATCTAATTACTAATCTGAATTTTATTTATATCCTAAACAGTTGGTAATAACTTTTGAAAGACCGTACAGACCCCCTCCTCAAAACCCGTAGCTAGCATGCTCCCGGGGGAAAATCCTGTTTGCTTTAAAAAAATTCTCTGGATCAGCAGCCAGCCTGCTCCCTTAAGAACATCCCATGTGCCTGAGAGAGCAGGAGATAGAGATAGGAAGACTGCAAGGCAAGATGTCAATAAGATAGGATATCAACAAAGCAGGTTAGCTATAAGATAGGAACAGGATGATTGTTGCCAGGCATCCATGTTAAGAGAGGAAACCATTCATGCCCCCGCCGCATTCCGATAACCACGCTTTTGCTTCTGTAAACTTGCTTCTTGCTGACACCCATGCTGAGAGAGGAAACAACTCATGCCCCCGCCTCATTCTGGTCGACCGATAACCACGCTTTTGCTTCTATAAACTTGCTTTTTGCTCTTCCCTATAAAAAGCCCGCCCTCCAGTTGGCAGGTGCGCAAATCTTCCGAGAGATCTTGCTGCCCACAGGTACCTCTGTCTACTCAATAAACCTCTTGCGATTTGCATCCCTGTGGTCTCGGCCTGTTCCTTGGCGTTGGGGAGGTCTCCCCGAAAAAAAGGTCCTCTCCAAGGGTCTTTCACTTTCTTTTTTTTAATAAATTTATTTATTATGTATATAATATTCTTTCTGCATGTATGCCTGCAGGCCAGAAGGGGGCACCAGACCTCATTACAGATGATTGTGAGCCACCATGTGGTTGCTGGGAATTGAACTCAGGACCTTTGGAAGAGCAGGCAATGCTCTTAACCACTGAGCCATCTCTCCAGCCCTGGTAATAACTTTCAAGAACATAAATTTGTATTACATTGTTAAATGAGCTGTATAGATACAATAATTTGAACAAGATTAGAATTGTATGTACAATGTTTTAACTAATTAATTACAAATTAATCTTAAATTTGTATTGATATACAAAATTTGTATACACTATACAATAATTTAGTGCAAAGTAAAATATTTAAAACTAGTCATTTTAGTGTTCTACCTTTTTCTCTTATCATATCTACATATATCTATACCTGCCTTTTCAGAGTAGATTCAATAATCTACTCTTTTATCCTATCATATTTTTATCCCCTTTTATCTTTTCAAAACAAGAACTCTGAGTCTGTTATAATTTGTTCAACGTGTTACCTGACAATTATCAATAACAACTTGTAACCAACCCCGCTAAACAACATCAAATATCCATAACCCATTGAACAACCTAAAATCACACAACCCACCTCTTAAATTTACTTCCTTGTTCCCAGAGTCAGCGACATCTTTAGGGGGTTCTGAAAAAAAATTGGATTAATTTTCAAGTCCTGGGAGAGATAGCTTTAACATTTGTTGTCCACTGTCTACCTAATGGGAAGGTTGAAGATTTGAATCAAGCCCTGCCTGGAGTAGTCTGTGAGGCTGGATCATCTCAGCTAAATAGATTGATATTGTTCTGAGCAGTTTGTAGACCAAAGCCAATATTTAGGTGGCAGTTTTTTAGTTTATTGGTGTTGTCAGAGTCATGGAGTAGTTGTCATTGTGGGGCCCCACCCTTTTGGAGACTTCAAAGGTTATTGTTAGGCATGCTCATGGTTCACTGTAGAAAACTAATGGAGACTCAAACCCCAAATCATGTAGAGAAATGTAGATCAAACCTCTTTTAGAATTAGTTAGTACTCTATATATCCATTAATATTATGACAAAAAATTTAAGATATATATTCATGGACACATTAATCCTTTAAAATTTATACTGTAAGAAAAACTTTGAAAAAGTCAATATAGATCCAAAGGATTAAGAGTGAAGTGGCAATACAATAGTTCTTAAATATTTGCTTTTCTTCTGTCTCATACCAGGTGGCTCTTCTGACATGAGACAGATTTTGGATTTTACTTTAATAAGCTTATGTGGGTTTAGAGGAGAGAATCCCTCCAAACTGCAAAGTCAGCTTTAATCTTTAATTGGATTGGGACTACAAAATGGCCATTAGCATTATATGACTGTAGAGAATAACAGAAACAAACTTGGGAAAATTTATGAAATTTTATTGTCTTTGTAATGTCATATAACCAATATGCTCCTTTTCTTGGGACACTTTTTTCTGGATGATTTCTATTTTTTTCTTCAGATGTCTCATTTATCTGAGGTGGGAAATACTTCTGTATATGTATTGCTTTTATTGGTTAATGAATAAAGAAACTGACTAATGCAGAGTAGAGCTAGTTCGAAAAACTAAACTGAATCCTAGGAAAAAGAAGGCACAGTCAGTGAAAAGCCATGAAGCCACAGCTGGGGACAGATGCACTGGAAGGTTGCCAGTAAGCCACAGCCATATAAAACACAGATTAATAGAAATGATTAACCAATAATATAAGAACTTACTAGCAATACACTTATGTGATTGGCAAGCAGTGATTTAAATAATATGGTTTCTGAGTGATTATTTCATGGTCTGGGTAACCAGGAACTAACAAGCGGCTTCACCTACATTTATTCAGTGGTCATTGGATTCCTCAGTGGGATATCCTTATTCTCCTGTAAAGACAGAAACAAAACCTTCCTCAACCCTAATTTTAGGGATATTATATTTTGGCCAGTTACATCTGATTAAATGAAAAGCATTTGCTAGTTTCATTTTCAGCAGATTATTTTTTATTACTTTATAAATAATACCAATCAAAATTTACACTTCTTCCCTTCCTCCTAATTCCCACCCACTCCCCCACTCCCCGTCTTTCCTCCCCCTCCAGACTTAAGAGACTGCAGGGTATCCTGCCTTGTGGGAAGTCCAAGTCCCTCCCCCCTCCATCCAGGCTTAGGAAGGTGTGCATCCAAATAGAATAGGATCCCAAAAAGCCAGTACATGAAGTAGAGACAAATCCCAGTGCCATTATCCTTAGCTTCTCAGTCTGTCCCAATTGTCAGCCACATTCAGAGAGTCCAGTTTGATCACATGCTCGTTCAGTCCCAGTCGAGCTGGCCTTGGTGAGCTCCCATTAGATCAGTCCTACTGGCTCCATGAGCGGATGAACCCCTCAAGGTCCTGACTTCCTTGCTCATGTTCTCCCTCCTTCTGCTCTTCATCTGGGCTTTGGGAGCTCATATCAGTGCTCCAAATCCATCCATCACCAGATGAAGGTTCTATGGTGATATGCAAGATATTCATCAGTGCGTCTATGGGAAAAAGCCAATTCAGGCACCCTCTCCTCTACTGCCCAC